ATTATCTTTCTTTCCCTGTGCTTGTAACTGCACGATTGACCTCACCTGGATTTCTGTAGAATCCAAACCGTTTCCAGCCTCTTAGTCAAATGTCAGATCACATGATGTATGAGTGCTCTGAGAGTCACAGTCACTCGCAGATAAATGATCTGACAAGTGCATATACCGTGGAATCAAAAGGCATGCATTTTCTTTTTTTATCTGCACAGCACTTTGGAAACCATATGTTGGTAAATATTGTCAATAAAGTTTGAAAAAAAAAAGCCAAATGACCCGGACCTAAAAAAGCCAGTTGTGCTTATGGATCCTATGGAGAAAGTGAATGCTCAAAACACCATGAATCTTTGCTATCTGCCGAACACCTTTCACATTGTTACTTTGATTCCAGTGCGACTCTTGCACCTTCGTAGAACAATTTTTAGAAAAGTTCCAAAGTTGTTGCTGGTGTCATCCTATCCCTTCTATCCCGGGGGCCATTTCACCTCTTCCTTACGCTTTAGCAGGAGCAAAGTAGAAGGATTTGGCTCGGTTTTGTGACGGTGTTATTGACAGCTCGTGTTATGGTAGGGCCGATCACCTGCTCCAGTGAAGAGCGTTTAGCGTGTGTTCGCACCGCAGCCACCGCTCGCATTGTTCGCCCCTTCAATGGTTTTGCCCCTGGCACAAGTCTGCGCAGCGCCGCTCAGCCCCAGATTAATGATCGGGGCATTACTCCAACGTGTGTAACTCCGCTGTTCCATTCTTTCACATTCTCCCAGAGCTTTGATGCCTTTGCCAAGAAATACTAAATAAAAGGGAGATTTTACTCTTTTTTCCCATAGAGCCACTTTTTCAGAAGTATCTAGTCTCCAAAGTCTAGACGAGAAAATTAGTTTTTCAAAGTTGTGACGACCAAGCTATTCAGTCAAGTATTTAATAAAAATGTTTTCTTTTATGCTACTGTAGAGGATTCTTCCAATAAGAAATCAAAACAAATAATAATTTGAGGACAAATGTTTTGAGAGTGGCAAAGACTACACTGTACTAAAGGATTTAATTTGATTGTCTAAAATGCTATTAGCACATCAACAATATAGAGAAGTCCTTTGAGATTACTGCTGTTGTGGCTTTGGGCATTACAAAAGCAGACTCAACCATTTGCTTTGATCTGTGCAGAGATCTTTTGTATTATAGCTTTATTTTTTTGGGGCCATGAACCATTGTTTTGTGAAACAAGGTTTGTGCTGCTGTTTGTCTGATTGTTTAGTGTTACTTCCTACCTAGTGAAGAAGATGTGCCAAGTCTGGGATCGCGTCTTAAATTCAGACAGAAGACATGTTTTATTGTCGATGGTAGAGACAGCACGAACAAAACACACGATCACAGAAACAATAGAATGCAAGTGTATTATACAGAGCGGAGGCATGGAGACCTCCAATCAGCAGCTTCCACGGTGTGCTTGTAGCTTGGCCTTCAGATAGACAAAACAAGGGAAAAGTACTGGCTTCTGCACATTGATAGATTGATGAGTTTAACTTTAACAAAAGTTGCTTAAAAGTGTTATGAAATCTCATATTCCCCCCTCTGGTCATACATTCACGTGTGACCATCAGGATCGATAAACAGCAACATAACATCATAACTCAATACTTCAAAAACTCATAAACTCGGTACTTCACTCGGTACCTCAAAAAACTCAGAACTCGGAATACTTCAAAAACTCAGAAAACTCATAAAACATTTTCAGATCTTTCATAAAACTTGTCAACAATCTTCAGTAAAATACCAAACTTCATCAGTCGATGGTGGTTCCAGATATTGCTTTGAAAACAGTCTCTCCCACTTCTCCGTGTTGGTTTCTTCAGGCTGCATTTGTGTCGAGCCATGAATTCTTCTGTGACGTGTCTTTCAATCACACGTTTCAGCTTCAGTGTCCAGATTCAGCAATCCAATTATGTCCAAATTGTGTAATCCAATTGTTCCAAATGGTGTCCATGCAAAAGAGGACGCTGGTATTGTCCATGTCTCACTAGTGATAGGTTCTATGTGATATTTTGTATGCATGTGATTGGGAAAGAGTTTGATTGCATAAAGCAATGAAACCTCATACAGGTGTATGAGGCGTATTTCACTTTTGTGGAAATATCATTAAAACTATGATTTTGAACATTCTGCAAGACGCAGAAATTGAATATGGAACTATTTTAATGTATGCTTTATTTGGTTGGGATAACAAATGTTGACGACTGCACTAGGGCCTCACAAAATATAAAAGTCAATAGTGTTATTGTATAAATAAATCATGAGTTTTTTATGCAAAAACTTTAACACACATCCTTCCTTGTTCCTTCAGTGTCTGGAAGGAACAAAACACAATACGGCAGAAGATAAGCTGAGCCAACACTGAGCCTCCAACAGCAGATTGATTTCTTTGGGGCAGGAAAGTATTGCAATATACTGTATATGGTGATGGCAGTCCTTGACACCACTATCCCACCACGCTTATTTCCAATAGCATGCAGATCTAGAGCATACCGGATTGTAGTTTGCGCACTACTGCGCCATTGTGGCACCCGGTGTGCCGTAAAACAAAGCTTTGCATTAAACTTAATCTTAGTTTGGCTTTTATATGTCGGTGCGTCACTCTGTCTAGACTCTATTGTTGTGTTTTGATCAGTGAAGGCGTTTCCTGTTGGTGGCAGTAGCTCTGATACAAAGCACAACACAGTGCTCTCCTCTTGGCATATCCAGTGACTCGTAAATAACAGATCAGGTTTCATCAAACCAGACTGTGATTGTTATTCAAGAATTAAAGGGCCCATAGCAACAGAATTAAACCTCTTTCATGTCTTTACGAAAATAAATTAATACATGTGTGGTTGAGCTGTGAGCGGGCTTGCATCTTCACAGACCTGACTCATACTTATCCTGGAGGAGGACCTCCTTACGATTGTTTCCAATGTAGCTTGTTTTGCTGTAATCTTCCACAGTAGTATTTGTAAATAGAGAATGTTCCAGGAAGGTTTGTTGGTGTGTGAGGAAGAGGAGACATGACCAAGAGTATAGTGGAGTGTGAGGAAGAGGAGACATGACCAAGAGTATAGTGGAGTGTGAGGAAGAGGAGACATGACCAAGAGTATAGTGGAGTGTGAGGAAGAGGAGACATGACCAAGAGTATAGTGGAGTGTGAGGAAGAGGAGACATGACCAAGAGTATAATGGAGTGTGAGGAAGAGGAGACAGGACCAAGAGTATAGTGGAGTGTGAGGAAGAGGAGACATGACCAAGAGTATAGTGGAGTGTGAGGAAGAGGAGACAGGACCAAGAGTATAGTGGAGTGTGAGGAAGAGGAGACATGACCAAGAGTATAGTGGAGTGTGAGGAAGAGGAGACATGACCAAGAGTATAGTGGAGTGTGAGGAAGAGGAGACAGGACCAAGAGTATAGTGGAGTGTGAGGAAGAGGAGACATGACCAAGAGTATAGTGGAGTGTGAGGAAGAGGAGACAGGACCAAGAGTATAGTGGAGTGTGAGGAAGAGGAGACAGGACCAAGAGTATAGTGGAGTGTGAGGAAGAGGAGACATGACCAAGAGTATAGTGGAGTGTGAGGAAGAGGAGACAGGACCAAGAGTATAGTGGAGTGTGAGGAAGAGGAGACATGACCAAGAGTATAGTGGAGTGTGAGGAAGAGGAAACATGACGAAGAGTATAGTGGAGTGTGAGGAAGAGGAGACATGACCAAGAGTATAGTGGAGTGTGAGGAAGAGGAGACAGGACCAAGAGTATAGTGGAGTGTGAGGAAGAGGAGACATGACCAAGAGTATAGTGGAGTGTGAGGAAGAGGAGACATGACCAAGAGTATAGTGGAGTGTGAGGAAGAGGAGACAGGACCAAGAGTATAGTGGAGTGTGAGGAAGAGGAGACATGACCAAGAGTATAGTGGAGTGTGAGGAAGAGGAGACAGGACCAAGAGTATAGTGGAGTGTGAGGAAGAGGAGACATGACCAAGAGTATAGTGGAGTGTGAGGAAGAGGAAACATGACGAAGAGTATAGTGGAGTGTGAGGAAGAGGAGACATGACCAAGAGTATAGTGGAGTGTGAGGAAGAGGAGACAGGACCAAGAGTATAGTGGAGTGTGAGGAAGAGGAGACATGACCAAGAGTATAGTGGAGTTTGAGGAAGAGGAAACATGACCAAGAGTATAGTGGAGTGTGAGGAAGAGGAGACATGACCAAGAGTATAGTGGAGTGTGAGGAAGAGGAGACAGGACCAAGAGTATAGTGGAGTGTGAGGAAGAGGAGACATGACCAAGAGTATAGTGGAGTGTGAGGAAGAGGAGACAGGACCAAGAGTATAGTGGAGTGTGAGGAAGAGGAGACATGACCAAGAGTATAATGGAGTGTGAGGAAGAGGAGACAGGACCAAGAGTATAGTGGAGTGTGAGGAAGAGGAGACCTCACTTCAGAGTTTCTTCAAGTCCAATAGGAAGTAGGAATGTTTAGTTCACACAGCCGGGTTGCTATTCCTGTTTGTCAATGCCGGATCTCTCCAGCTTTAAGACACTAAGCAATATGGAGCCTGGTAAGTTCTGTGATGGGAGACCGCTCTAACATTAGGGGCCGCAGTGGGGAACTTATTGCAGTAAATGGCTAAATGTCACAGTGTCTTTAAGCAAGACACTTAACCCACATCTTGTGTGAATCTGGTGCTGCTCGGATGGACCAAAAAAGGGGACTGGCAAACTGACTTGCTTCAGTCAGTCTACCCCAGGGCAGCTGTGGCAAGTAGTTTACCCTTACTGTGTACTAACTTAATGATTATTTAAAGTTCATAAATAATGAATATAGAGTGTCACAAATATATAACTAGAAACTGATGCGTCACTCATATCATTCAGACTACAGTAGATGGATTGGTGTTGGGTGTGCACACTCAGCAGCTGCTTCTCACCCACACACATACACAAACACCCACAGACACCCACACCCACACCCACACACACACACACATAAACACTCACCAAATGCAGCCACTTTGATGAGGATGGCGTGGACGTTAGCCGATATCATCTCCGACAGCAGCTCTTCCTGGTCCCTCCTCCACAGGTAGGACAGGGGCTGCAAACCGAGCCGCGCGCATCTGCACAACAAGTGGGCGGATAGGCATTACGGGATGGCGACCACAGTCTGAACCACTTTAAAGCAGGAAGGGACCGCACTTTGTCATTGTGCGAGACGGCCCGGTTCATCCCAGGGTTCATCCCAGGGTCGAGTTCAATGCCAGACTTTAGTCAAGTGCCAAGAAGCCACAACACAAAGAACCACACACAAACACACACACACACAATTATAAAAGAACATTGTTAGGGATGAAAAATGGATCACATGGTTCGCCATGTCATGCGATATGTTGATATTGTTATTTTGGTGAACAACAGGTGAGCAGGGTTTCAAGTTCATTTCCAAGACAGCCTGAGGATTTTTAAGAAAAAAGTTGATCTAAAACAACCTTTGTAAAAGTCAGAGTCCATTTTTTTAGATTCTGCTCTGCTGATTATGAATGTGTCCCCCCCCCAATAAATGACAATTTATGTGAACTAATGAAAGATGAGACATAATAATATTGTTATACATTTTATGAACTTGTGTTTATGATCTCTGCTTTGAGCTAGTGTTAATAATCTTGTCCTGAATGAATTGCTTTGAAATGTGGTATACCATGTCTATATTGGTGAAGACAAAGTTTGACAAAATATATTAATTATTATTATTATATATTTATATTATATATAATATATATATTCAAAATGTTGACACCAATATTTGTATTATGTATATTATTTTTAAAGCTGCTCTCACACATCACTTCATGGCAGAGAACCAAACGTTTACAGTCTTCCCAAGTGTTCTTTTTTTAAAAAAATTTATAAAACATCCACTTAAAATAGCAGCACGCCATAAAAATCAAAGCGCGTCTAAACAAAGCCGCGGCACGTAAACAGTGAGTGAGGATGTATTGTGTGCGTCATCAGAGCTGAGGGCACATGGAACACACTTACACGTTCTCCACCCGGACCCTCTGGTAGTCCGACAGGATGGCCCCCACGGACACCGCCTCCACTCGCTCCTTCTCCTGGACACGCACGAACACACACACACACACACACGTACACACAAAGACAAACACACACACACAAACGCACAGAAATAATTAGGCTGTTAAAAGGTGTTACACTATGATTTCCGACACAAAGACACATTGCCAGCTTCAAATTTGTGGTGGGCCAACATGAATTGTAAGTTCAAAGGTACCTCAGTTTTAAGTAAACTTACTGTCTATTGTTAAATAATTATATAGTCGCAATGTAGTTGTATTTAGGCATGTTAAATATCACATTACACATATCACATAAGATATACCATTATTCCCTGTATCTAATACATACAGACTGTATTATCAAGTTTATATATGGGTTTCTAATAATACTTTAGGATAACATTATATCTACATTCTGACATGAATAAAGATGATCATTTAACGTAATAATAATGACATTCCAAATGCATATGATAGATAGATATTTTATTGATCCCCAAAGGAGACATTCAGATGTCCAGTAGCAGTAGAACAAATAAATCATTCTAACAATAGTATTAAAATGCAACTGCACTTTCGGTCCCAGCAGCAGAGATGGAGTAGCTGCTGGATGGAACAAGACTTGATGGTGCCATTGATGTTTGAAATATCACTGCTGATCTAAAACCATCTATACAAGATGTTATTTTCCTGATGATTAATGTTGCCATTAAATGTAATGGCAGAAAAAATTGCAGCATTTCATGAGATTCAAATGGTCAGCGATTAATTTATTGTATACAAGGTAAGCTTTTCTCCAGTGTCCTCAAAGAAAAATTTTGCCCTCTGCATTTGACCCATCGCTCAATGCCTGGAGGGTGTGTCAGGAGCAGTGATCACGACAGAGCAGCTCTCAGGGACCCAGATGATGATGCTTGGATTGGTCAGGACTTCCACTGCACATGTTTTAGATAGGGGTGGGGGGAACCGGAGCACTCGGAGGAAGCCCACCCGGAAAGAGAGAGAAATTAAAACCAAACATGGGATCGAACCTCTGACCTTCTTGCCCACTCAGCATCGTGCTAACATGTGTTTATTGAAACGACAATGGGATGCAGCGTGTTATGAGAGCGCATGTAAACACAGTGAGGAGGAACAGTGCACGCCCCACACAGCTCGCTCCTTTCTGACAATGAGGATGTTTACACTTAAAAAATATCAAGGACAACAGCTCATATCCTCCAGGGATGGGGACTGAAAATGGATATGAGGGCACATTTAACAATAACATGTTTTTAAGGTTTTTGACTTTTCTCTGCTTTAAACATCATTACAGTTCTTTTTGGCCTTGATATACACATGCCCAGAGTGTTTTTTTTTTCATTTATTCCCTCAAGCTTTTGTTATAAAGCTTTCTCTCTCATTCTCGAGAGGCAACAAAACGACCTGATTCACTTTGTGACGTGGCACCACTTTGTTACATGGCACGTGCTGCAGAAACAGGCCTCCAGTAGGCACTATTCAAAAACAAGGTTTATAAAGTGCTACACAGTCAGCATAAAATTTAATTTTAAAAATTCATAACAATGCAAAGTCAAAATAATAAACAGTAGATACAGGAAGACACAGCAGACACAGGAAACACAAGAAGAAACACATAACAAAGACAAAGACAGTAAAACACAATGTGATGTTTAAACTAACAGTTAAAAACTGTTCGATAAAAGTGGGTTTTAAGAAGTGATTTAAAAGAGGATACTGATGGTGCTAGCCTTATCTCCTCGGGCAGGTTGTTCCAAAGCCGAGGAGCTCGGACAGAGAAGGCTCGGTCACCTTTTTGTCTGGTGCCTCGACCTTTGGAACAGTCAACAGCGACCTGCCCAAGGGTTGAGGCTGCGGGGGGGCTCGTAGGGTGTTAAAAGTTCATAAATGTAGCTTGGTGCCGAACGTAAATGAGCTTTAAAAGTAATCAGTAACATTTTTAAAACAATTCTAAAACACACAGGGAGCCAGTGGAGGGACGCTAAAACTGGGATGATGTGCTCCCTTCTGTTAAAATCAAGTCTGGCTGCTGCGTTCTGAAACAGTTGGCGGCGGGAGAGAGATTTGGAGTTGAGACTGGAGTGAAGGGAGTTACAGTATTCAAGGCGGGACTAGATGGCTGAGTGGATAGCACTCTCGCCTCTCAGCAAGAAGGTCCTGGGTTCGAATCCTGGTCGGACCAGGGCCTTTCTGAGTGGAGTTTGCATGTTCTCCCCGTGTCTGCGTAGGTTTCCTCCGGGTACTCCGGTTTCCCCTACCACTAAAAATATGTCCAATAGTTTTGGCATGCGCCTCCTGTACTGGCGACCCCGCTCCCATCTCTGTGTGGAGTGAGAGACAAATGCCCATAATTAACAATTGTAAACCGCTTTGAGACTCAGATCTGCAGTGAAAAGGCGGTATATAAATAAAGATTAAAGAAAAAAAGATGAGGGCATTCACAACTTTATGGAGATCGGGAGGAGTGAGAATGTTTTTAATCTATCAGCGCACACAGCCTGTCCCAGCGTATGGTCTCGTCTACCACAGTTCACTTTCCTAAACTACACTGTTTTTCTGCTATTGTCAGAGACTGAAGCAAGAGTGTTAGCATCATGTCAACTTGGACAGCATATGTTTTTTGGGTGTAAATATGTGACATTTAGCCCGTAGACAAAGAGTCCTGCAAATGTAGCTGGACACGGGGGTCTGCCTCCGAAATCCGTGACAAATCTGTTCATCTGCAAGTGACACTTCACCAAAGACTGCTTCTTTACCTTGAAACTTACTCAAAAGCTTATCTTGAAACATGGTGTTTTTCCCACAATAAAAGACGCTATTGAGGAGCCTAGAACTGTCAGTGCAGTGCCGTATACTTCTGTAAACTAAATAATTTGCGGCCGATTCTTGATTGAGGACTTAGGGCTCTATGTTGAGGGGTCGTCATTGTTGGAAAAAGTTTATTTTCTGAAATGACTATGTCCCGGCAAAAGCTGAACATTTAGCTTTCCAGCCGTTTCAATTGAGGTAACATCATTTCTATGCAAGACATGGCTATAATTTTACAAGTTTTGGGTGTTGTATGGTGAATCACACAAATTATTATCACACATGTGCTTATGATGTGAAAAATGAATGAAGAAGAGTGTTATAGGGAACCGTTAATGTATTTTTGTCAACAATAGCAAAGACAACAGGCAGAATGAAAATCTATGTTTGAAGGTTTGGATAAAAAATATGGAGCATTTAACCATTTCTAGAATTCAAAAACGCATTTTAGAATAGCCAAATTCCTCTTGAAGAGAGATCTTTACTATTTTGAGATACTAATGGGAATCCCAAATCAGGACTTTAACACATTGGTCATTTCTCTAACGGATTTACTCGGAGATGACATTCACTTTTGGTGTGTACAAAACAATGCAAAAGGCGCGCTGCTCTTCCCGTCAGCTCTGTTTGCGTTTTGACATTTATGTGCATTTCCCAGCCCTCATCACCACTCCGTCTCCGTACCCAGCTGGCTTCTCTGCGCATTGTTCTGGTGAGTGGCATGTATCTTTAATATGGCTGAGGGCTAATCTAATTGCTTTTCATATCATATTCATATTTCGCAAACGGCGCGACAAGTGCGCGCAGGGGAGACAGCGGCGCAGCCTTGAGATGTCGTCAATCTCCTCTCACAAAGGCGCTTTGACACACGTGTAAATATAAGTGCGCCACGGCCATGAAAGCTGCGTGTTGTGATAAATGCAGATCCTATTTTCACTGTTCCCCAAAGATAGAAGTTGCCGAGTTATATTTTTAAAAAGCAAGAGCAAGAAGAGGAATGCACCAAGGCTATATTGTTTATTGATTTATTTGTAATTGAGCGGTTGGGTTTTATGAAACTTTTTTAAACATTCAAGAACAAAAGGGCCAAACCATTTGAATGTGTTTGTAAGGTTTGAAATGGCTGGATTTGGACTTTTTAATGCTTTATTGATCCCTGCCCGCAACAAGTGGAGCGTCACATTGGTGTGGCAAATGTACAGGGCTTCTCTGTGCATTTGCCCGTTGTCTGTTTCGGTTTTGTTTGGGTTTCCCAAAAGTCTCAGCAGCATATAAAAAAACTATCACAAAACATCAAAAAACACAACAAGCTTCGTTCAACAAGAACCAGTCAAGTCTAAATCAGGTAACCGTGTCTTTGCTTGGAATATACCATATATCCTTCACACATGTATTTCTGTAGAGAAAAATGCTAGAAATTCTAGAATTTACAGATTCAATACAAAATGTTCATCAAGACATAAAAAAGATAAATGTGTTTTGCAATGTCCCAATTTAGTTTTTGTTGGAAATTCAACACATAAACACCGTAAAAAATACAAACGCGTATAAAATGGGGCGACAGTGGCTCGGTTGGCAGAGCATTGGCCTGTAAGCATGAGGGTAAAACTGCAAAAAAATTGTAATTGAACAATGCAACGTTCTGATGTCTCCTTGTCTCATGTCTAAGCTAATTTTAATTCACAAGACCTACTTCACGACTCCCACTGATGTCTGTTCTTGTTGTGTCCTTGGACACTTAACCCCACTTTGCCCGAAGCCCCCACTGTAAGATCTGAGCTCCTGTGGACTCACCACCTGCAGGAGGATCAGTGAGGGGCTGGTGCTAAGTGTACTGAGTGCAGCTCTGACTGCCACCCCCGACCCAGAAATGGATTAAGGGGAAGAAAATGGATGGATGGCGTATAAATTATGCCAATATTCATTGCGATCCATTTTAGCGCATGATGCATTAATCCGACCCTGTATACATGCACGCATACTTTACATGCACCCTTGGTACCTGCACCTGAGTGCTCATTACCGCATTACATGCCTCGTAATTAGAACAAAGGCAGGAGCGGGGGGCATGCGAGCCTTCACTAAATTACCTTGTAGCCGTTACCAATTTCCCTGGCTACTGGTCCTTAAGATAACCCCCGCCCCACCTCTTCGCCGTGGTTCCTTCTCGCAATTTTTCTCTGCCTGATAAACATGCTGATTAAAGGCAACAGTGTGTAAACCTTTGATCGTCTCTAAATGAAACCCGTGGCCTGCCCAGGGCTGTTGGTTCACGAAGACCAGGCTGTGAAGAACTTTTTCATTTAGTGGTATAATGGACAATCATTTTACAAGAGGAAACCATTTCTATTGTAGTATTGATATCTATGATTACACATGTGTCTGGGTATTTTTTGGAAGTAATGGAAAGCACTGTTCTCTTTCTTTGCATGGGTAATACAAATTGACATCAATTAGCAAGCATTGAGAAGAGATCGCATTCACTGCGGAACAGATTTGCAGAATGTTATTGAAATGTATCAGAATATGAATGTACAAGAATAGGATTCATCAGCAATCAAACACATCTAGTAACTCTTAAGCTCGCAAGCCAAGAAAAAAATACATCTGCCGGCAATAGCAGAGGTATTTTGAACTTCATAAGCCACAAGCTGTATATAATTTAAAGCTTATTTTCTCAGCTATATGTATATGTAAGTGTAAACGATATCAGACTTTGCATTAAAAAGATATAACGCATAATATGGGCACAAAATAAATCGTGTTTGTATAAGTTTTTTACCTTTCGGCTTCTGCTGCTCCAACAAATTAGACTTTCCCCATCCTTGCTTAGTCTCTTTCTCTCCGTAAGTCTTCAGTGAAAAAGAATATCCACTTGTATTTCCCAAAGTATAATCCATTCTTCAGAAATAATCCAAAAATGTGCATTTTTCTGTTGCAAAAAAAAAACGCTCCGAAAAATGTTCAGGCTTCTCTTTCACATTTCACCAAGTTTGAGCTTTGTTTACCCCCACAAACATCATATCCACATGTTTCTTGAGTCCTTTGCTTCAAAAAGAGAGGTTCCATGAAAAGATAGGAGCAGGTTTCAGTTCGCAGGACCCTTGTGAAAAAGACAAACCGCATCCACTTGCACAGGGTCCTTTTTCCCTTGTTGTTGATTACATGGCTAGCGCAATGTGCTGGCTCTGAATGATTGATGTGTCTAAGTAGCCAATAAAAAGAGCTTTCTTTTGATGGGTGGGACTTGTATGAACTATTTTCATTTTCACAGTAAAAGCGTGCGTAATGACGCTGTTAATACTGCTGCGCATATTTTATATGCATTTACACTACTAAAAAAAATATTTTGAAAAAATGTAAAAGAAAATCACACAGATTTGTAACGTACCAAAACTAAAAAATATGCTTTTTATGATGGTGAAATGTTAGTAAAGCAGTTTGGCACAATTTGGCACACATTTTGCCAAATTGGTTCCGAATGGCACTACTTGATAAAAAAGCGAAACTGCATAAAAACTGTAAAACTTAGAAGTCTGAAACTTTACACAGTTGTTGTCAACAACACAATGAACAAATTGGCGTTGAAAATTTTCTTCTTCCAATGAAGTAGGATTTTTTAGGGCATTTATACATTGAATTTTTTAGACAAGGCTAAAAAAAACAGGTTCTTTCCCAAACTTCAAAGGATGCAGAGTGAAATAGGAATGACTTATTTCAGTGTATATTTACATAAACTAGAAGGGCCTAGCTTTAAAATGATGCATCACACAAGCATGTGAGATGTAAGATGTGTTTTTAAATAAGCAAAGACATTTGGGTATGCCGAACTTTTGTGCACGTGCCAAAACAGATGTAGGAGTTTTAAAGTCTCTAGGGTGCTCTGTCTGGAGCAGTATTGGGCAAGTTACATCAAAAACTTTACACATTATGGATAACTTGTTACTGTTTATTTTGAAGTGATGTATTACACCACAATATTACTATCTCTGAATTGTAACGCATTACACTACTACTGCATTACTTTTAAGTTAATTTTAGTTTGGCACATAAAATGCACTTCACTATTATGTTCAACATCTTTGTCTCCAACAATCTCAGTCCTATCCTGGCCCAGTCCTGGCTTTGTCCTGACCCAGTCCTGGCTCAGAACTGGTTCATAGCAGCTTACAGCTTCAGTTTTTAAACTTGAGGGAAGTGCATCATTCTTTGGGCATATATTTTCCATGCACTCATTGACAAATGTCTTCCTCACTCACAAACCGGACTCTTGGGTTAGGATTAGGGTTAGGGTTAGGGCTGAATATTGACTCTTTTTGGACGCTTTAGAACAGTGCTTAGACTCTTATCTGTTGCGTAGTCCTCGTGTCTCTGCTCTTTTACAAACACCAACCACTGAGCGAAGGGGCGGAGACAAAATACTGGGTCCACAGGCTCCGGGACCAACATTATTTATACATCATGCTTTGCTCGCGGGCATTGGGTTGGTGACCCCTGTCGATCAGGTTATTATTATGTTTTGGATTAAAATGCGATGTAACGCACGTTATTGACATTGGTACCGAGTTAATATTACCCAGTGTTTTTGGTAATGCCTTACATTACTGCATTATGGCAAAATGAATTATCTTATACAGAAATTGAATAACTAAGGCCACACAATACATTGAAACAAAACTATTATTGCGATAATGGCAGTTACAGAAGAACAATCAAGCCTCTACAATTGACCTGCTCCAACAGAATGAGCAGCTGAACCAGAATAGACCAAGGATCGAGAGGAGTAGATACAGTATGGGCTTTAAAAGCTCTCTACTATGACCACCTGGTTCACTGAAAGAAACAGAGAGGTCAAGTTTACTCATGTGCTTAGTACCAAAGATGCCAAGATTGCTCTTCTCAATAAGGAGAACTCAAATCCCACTTTCAAAGAGCCTGATCAGTATAGTGAGCCCAAACATACACACACATAGTGCTGCAGTATATAGAACCTGCCACATTGTATGCAACAATGGGAGAACACTGTACTATACTATGGTATGGAACATATTGAAACGAGTACATTTCTGCACATTTAAATCACAATTATATTTCCTTTTTACTGTAGTGTGTAGTGTTTAAACTTGCACATTAAATGCAAAGGAGAATATTCAGCACTATAAACAATAATGTATTTACTTGATTGTAAGAGATTTTAATATTAGAGATGGATATATTGAATTCATTTGTAGTGGTACATGGGTGAGCTGTCAAGTGCGCTATCATACTTTGCAGATTAGAAAATCAAATAAAAGCATAAAAACAAAAATGACAAACTGATATTCTCAGGAATAAAGCAAATGGATTGATACACCAACAATGCAAGATTTCTTTTTTGGAAGGGATGGAAGGTTTAATAAAGATGGTTCCTCATCAGCAAACCTCCCGCCAAAGTGAAATTATAAACAGCGCTAGAATCATTTCAGAATTCTCAGTTCCGTCGGAGCGATTTGTGGACTAAACCCAACACACTTCTCATTGTACCTAACATAATGGCGAGCGTGTCTCCATATATATCGGCGGTGAATCTATAGGCGGTGACAGTAATTACGTTGGACTGATAACATTTGAGCAGGAGCGCGCTGGAGGCACACTCGTGTAATTCTAGGTAGCAGCCTTGGGGGCCGGCTCAGTGCAGACACGACGAGACGCTGCTCCCACAATGCAACTGTCACATCCTCCAC